CTGCATGAACCCTTAGAGATTACTCAGAACTCCAATCTGAGGGTCAGAGAAGTGACCTGCTCAAGGAGTCAAACGAAATTAATGACATGGGAAGGTGCTACAGTCCTAACACTCTTCCCTTCACTCTATGCTCTTACTAGAGTATTTCGTCATCCTTTGCAGGACCTGGAAAGGTACAGAATTAATTCATTTACATAACATAAACGAACATCTGTTTATATGAAGAATTGTTCTAGGCTCTGAATAGGACACAAAGATGTAGAAAACATGGTTCAAGTCTTTGGGACTTTACAGTCTAATGAATCTCACTTCAATGCTGAAGATACCAGACATATCAATAGGGGTTAGATATTCCTAGGAACAGAGAACTCACTTAATAAAGGCTTCTGAAGGCAGAGATACCAATAATTTTTGGATGAATGATGAAACTTAGGAGAAGATAGAAGCTTCAATCCTCATTAATAAGTATAAACAACTTAGAACTTCTAAGCTAATAAAAATGTCAAAAGTGACTTAAAAAAGCAGTAGATTGCACTTTCTCAGAGAACAAAGAGTAAGCCTTATCTAGTGCTTTTTTTTTTTTTTTTGAGACAGAGTCTCGCTCTGTTGCCCAGGCTGGAGTGCAGTGCCCGGATCTCAGCTCACTGCAAGCTCTGCCTCCCGGGTTTACGCCATTCTCCTGCCTCAGCCTCCCGAGTAGCTGGGACTACAGGCGCCCGCCACCATGCCCAGCTAGTTTTTTGTATTTTTTAGTAGAGATGGGGTTTCACCGTGTTAGCCAGGATGGTCTCGATCTCCTGACTTCGTGATCCGCCTGTCTCGGCCTCCCAAAGTGCTAGGATTACAGGCTTGAGTTACTGTGCCCGGCTGGTGCTTTTTTTTTTTTTAAGGGTGATTTAAAACAAACAAAAAAAAACCTTTTTATGATGCTGCCATGTTGGTATAGGTTGTTTCCAGCCCCCTAATAAGATAAACAGGCAGAAGCAAGCCAGCACCTATGGGCTGAAAACCAGAACAGGCAGTTTGGTATAATTTTAATGTCAACCTAGTATATCAATATAGTATTATCTTTTTATTTTCATGATAACCCTGAAACAAGTATTCTACTATCAGCATTCTACAGATCTGGAAACCAAGGCTTTGAGAACTTAAGGAATTTGTTCAAGGTCACAAAACTAGTGAATAGCAGGGACTCAAACTCAGGTTTGAACTTAAAACCAAAATGTATGTTCAGCACAATTTCTTGCATATAGTTAACTCTCAATAAATGCTAGATGTTAGAAAAGTGTCTAAAAGTGCAACAGAGCACTGGTATATCAATGAGTGGAGGTGGTGAGGAACACCTTGGTCATTAGAAGGTGTATCTATATCCCGTATTTTGATGTTGAGAAAAGCGCAGCTTAGCATACATGCCTTTTTCTGGTCTGTGGTATCCCTTAAAGGGAAATCAACTTTCCCGCTACATGACTTTATTTAAGTGACTTTAGGCTTTTGTGTATTGGTTTCCTCAGTGAAAAGTAATATGGTTCCAAAGGTAAAGATCATGAATGTGTCTACTAAGGCGTTCCTATGACAACTGTAGGGGGAAAAAAAGGTCACATTTCATATTCAAGAGAAAGGCACTATCTCCAAAACATCATAGTTTATCAAAAGGACTTTTGATTCTCACCCTAAGAATGGTCAACTCTTAGCCAAAAGCAACTGGGAAAAAATAGCCCAGAGTCTTATCTTCCGAGTGCTACTGTGAAGCATGGTTTGAAATGGTAAAGCCACAGTGCCCCTTGGATTGTGCTTCAGCAAAGATTTTCAGACTCTAACAGAATTGTGGAGTATCCTGAGAGGCAACATGATGGTGTGGAAAGAACACAGACGTGGAATTAGAGAGAACTGAGGTTGAATCCTGGCTCTTCCACCTCTTAGCTGGGTAACCACGATCAAGTGGTTTCATTTGGTATTTTCCTCATCCATAAAATGAAGATGAATGAGGATAATTCAGGTTTTAAAGATTAAAAGCGATAACAGGCATAAAGCACTAAGCGTTGTGCCTGGCACAGAGAAACTGCTATGAAATGAGAGTTGCTATTAGTGCTCCAGATGTGTGATGGCCTCACAGTCCTCGATAGGACAGCACTACCGGACTGTTAAAGTTCAGGAGAGGGTAGCAGCTTGGCTGTCAAAGACAGCTGTTCAGAATATAAGAATTTGTCGTGTGCTAGAAATTGCTGACTCCATCAGTAATTTCTGACTTCCCCAACAATCCAGTCAGAGCCTAAATGACAAAATACTTGAGGCTCCCTTACTCATTCCAATTATTAGACTCAAAGAATTTGAAAGCCACAAAGGTTCTCAGAGGTCATCTCTGCCATCCTTGTCCCTCCAGAGACAAAAGAAACTGAGACCACTTGATGATGTGACTAAAACTTCAGAAAAAATACTTGGGGTTGCAGAAAGCTCCTGTGGGAGTTATGCCATAGATTTTATTATTTATTCTCTTGACTCGTCAGATAATAAGGTAAACTGCACATATAGAATAACTACAAAGAATCAAGGCCAACTATGCCATAAATTATGATTTTCAGTCTAAGCAGAATTGTGCAGGGGCATGAATAGTAAAGACCAGGGACTGTATTTGTGTGATTATTTTCTGATTTTATAGTTCAAAGTACACTGAGGACGTAACTGAACCCACAGGTTTACTGCATCTGTACTATCCTGAGGTGCTTTACAGTGGAGCTTTACTGTACCTAGAAACCTTTTATTCTCCTGGCAGAAATTGGAATATTCTGAGTTATACAGGCCGAAGCTCACTCTAGAGCTCCAGCTCAAATAATTTCTAACGTTTTCATCATAGGAAGCCATTGGGAAAGGAGTCATGTTCAATTTTCCATTACCTTCTTCAGCAGACCACTTAAATCAATCAGCCAGCCACTGAGAGGTCATAGATCTAATTTTATGCCCAGTGTGTGTACGAATGAGCTATAGAACCATTTCTTCTTAAGTGCTAAACAAAGAGATGCCTGATAGTGGAGACATGCAGTATTTCATGGAGAAAGGTTCTTTCTTCAAATGGTCAGAACTCATTGAAAACACTTCATTATTTTCTGATGGTTGTTATTCTCACATGGGTCATGCAGAACTAAAGAAACAGCCTCAATTAAATTTGATTTTTTTTTTCAAATGGTAGGAAGGGCAAACAAAAATGAAAAAAAAAAAAAAGAAAAAAGAAAAAAAAGAAATATGACATTTTTTACTCTGGAGGAACTGGACTACATTCTAATATGGTAAATCTGCAGTGGCCACCTGCCTGGATCTTTCAAATTATTCCAAGGAACATTAACTCTGTAAGTTATTAAAAGATAGTCTGGGGTAAATCAAATTTGGGAACTATATCCCTCTTCTGGAGATTAATAATGCACATTCACATATTAAAAAGTTGGCAGGAGGAGTGCTGCAGGAAGAAATTCTATATAATTCTGGCATTTTCCAAACTTATTTCAACCATGGAATACCTTCTTTTTTTTTTTTAAATCCACAGAACCATCATCATATTGCAGTATACAGTGTTCTTCACAGTGCTGTTTGGGAAATTCTGTGCTAAATTATGCCTAAAGACTGGTTTGTAACCTCTAAAATAGCCAAGGAAGAGACAGTGCCATGGCCTAGAAGGTTCCAATTTCTGAAGGTGTCTAACCTTTTGGGAAAAAATAAAGACAGCTGAGACTCACAGCAGAAGCCCGACAAAAAGTACTGCTGTCTCTACTCTGGCCTCACTCTTTCCCAACCACTGGTATGAATTAGGGCCCCCACTTTTAAGCTCCTAGATCCTCTTACTCTAATCAGCACTTATCATACCCAACTGGAACTGCTTCTACACTTACCTTTCTCCCCTATTAGACTCTGAGCTTCTTGAGGGTGGAACCTGGTGCCCAGCACAGTACCTATTGCTTTTGGCTGAATAAATACTTGAGCCACACTAAATTTTGTTTAAATTATCAACTTCATAACAGAAGCAGCTGACATTGACTAATCGTTCACCACATGACAGCCACAAACGTAAGTGTTTTATGTAGATTTAATCTCACAACCCTATGAGGTGGGTCCAGTTGGTCCTTCATATGTGTAGATTCCATAGCCATGGATTCAACCAACTGCAGATCAAAAATATTTAAGAAAATGTTGGGTGCAGTGGCCACGCCTGTAATCCCAGCACTTTGGGAGGCCAAGGCGGGTGGATCACCTGAGGCCAGGAGTTCAAGACCAGCCTGGCCAACGTGGCGAAACCCTGTCTCTACTAAAAATACAAAAATTAGTTGGGCATGGTGGTGGGCACCTGAAATCTCAGCTACTTGGGAGGCTGAGGCAGGAGGATCGCTTGAATCTGGGAGGCGGAGGTCGCAGTGAGTTGAGATCACGCCACTGTACTCCAGCCCAGCCTGGTCAACAGAGCGAAACTCCATCTCAAAAAAAAAAAAAAAAAAACAAATGAATAAAATAAAATTTAAGAAAATAAAACCAGTAGAAAGTAACAACACAGCAATAAACTATTACAAATTAAAAAATACAGCATAACAACTATTTACATAGCATTTACATAGTATTGGGTATTATACGTAATCTTGAGATAATTTAAAGTACAGTTGACCCTGGAACAACACAGGCTTGAACTGCATAGGTCCACTTACAAGCAGATTTTTTTTTCAATAAATTACATTGGAAAACTTTTTGGAGACTTATGACAATTTGGAAAACCTCATAGATGGACCACACAACATAGAAGTACCAAAAAAAAAAAAATTAGGAAAAAGGTATGTAGTGAATTCATAAAAAATATATAGATGCTAGTTTATGTGTTAATTGACTATATGGTATCAGTAATGCTTTTGGTCAACAGTGGGCTATTAGTAGTTAAGTTTTTGGGGAGTCCAAAGTTATCCTAGGATTTTCAACTGTGTGGGGTGAAAACAGCTAATCCCGTGCTGTTCAAGGGTCACCCGCATCTAGCGCTCATCCGGCAGCACATATACTCAAACCGGAATGATCTGGAGAAGATTAGCGTGGCCCTTGTGCAAGGACGACACATAAATTCGTGAAGTGTTCCATATTTTGATGATGATTTAAAAATAAAGAAATAAAGTATGTGGAAAGATATGTATGGGTTATATACAAAAATACTATGCCACCATTTCATATATGGGACTTCAGCACCCAAAGATTTTGTAACTGTGTGTGTGTGTGGGGGGGGTGGGCGGTCCTGGAGCCAAACCCCTGAGGATACCAAGGGATAACTATTTTTATCTATATTTAAAAAAACACAGAGGGCCTGGCACGGTGGCTCACGCCTGTAATCTCAGCACTTTGGGAAGCTGAGGTGGGTGATCATTTGAGGTCAGGAGTTCAAGACCAGCCTGGCCAACATAGTGAAACCCCATCTCTATTAAAAATACAAAAATTAGCCAGGTGTGGTGGCATGTGCCTGTAATCCCAGCTACTCAGGAGGCTGAGGCAGGAGAATCTCTTGACCCTGGAAAGTGGAGGTTGCGGTGAGCCAAGATCGTACCACTGCACTCCAGTCTGGGTGACAGCGAGACCCTGTCTCAAAAAAATAAAAAAATATATAAAAATAAAATAAACACAGAAATTAAGTTCAGAAACTGCTCAAAGCTACCCAGCTAGTAAATGATGGAGACATTCAAATCCAGGCAGTCTGACTTCAGAGCCTCTGCTCTTAACCACTATACATTTCTTCCTCTTTTCTAAGATTCATCTCAGCAGTAAAATTCCTTGGTTCTGTGGAGTAAGGAGGAGAGGCCTGTAATTCATGTAGAACTCAAACCAATGGAAAAAATCACTAGTCCAGGTCAGGAGAAAGGAGGTTTAAAAGCAAAGGCCTGGGCAGAGCCCAAGGAGAGCCTGTAAGAGACAGGGACATCTGGGAGCATGGAAGGACTTGGAAAGGCTAGCTGAGCGCATGCTAGTCTTCTGTGCGCACCTCAACACATGAACAGTTAAAAATTACAACACGGAAGAAGGTTAAGCATATGTCAAGTCCAAGGATGGGGGTTACAGAACATGAGGAGTTTGTTCGCTGGGTTGCTGGGAAGGGTAGAAGGGTAGAGGTTTATGCCTTGTTCAGATATATCAGTATGTTCATTCACTCATTCATTTGTTGATCATATAATTGAGTTCCTCCTCTATCCCAGGTGTTGTTCTAGGCACATGGAATACATCCATGAGCAAGACAAATAAGCGTTCTAGTAACGTGCAACAGATAATAAGCAAACACATAAACCTGAGACAATATCAGGGAGTGATAAATGCCATATAAAAAAAAGATAATATGATACAGGATGATGGAACTACTTTAGAATGAAAAGGTCTTCCCGAGGAAATGATTTATATCAGACCTGAGTTACAAGGAGCTAAATAAATACATGGAGATCCCAGGCAAGAGCACTTGAGGTAGAAAGAACCACTACAAAGGCCTTAACTAATTCCAATAGCTAAGGCCTTAAGTGAGTTTAGTGTAGTTGGAATGTAAAAAGATCAATGTGGAGTGGAGTGAACTGGGAAGAAAATGATATTTTATGAACTCAGAGAGTATACAAGGCCCATGGCATAGGCAGCCCTGTGTAAGCCACAGCCAGTAAAGAGGCGAGGGCTGTGGTAGGAGAGAGGGAGGAAAGGATGCGGATGCAGGGTATGTTTTGGAGGTAAAGTCAAGGATTTATTGAAGAAATAAATGTGTGAGTGAGAGTAAGGAATCAAGGAAAGTACCTATTTTTTTGTTGTTTGTTTTGAGATGGAGTCTTGCTCTGTCACCAGGCTGGAGTGCAGTGGCACGATCTCGGCTCACTGCAATCTCCGACTCCCTGGTTCAAGCGATTCTCCCGCCTCAGCCTCCCGAGTAGCTGGGACTACAGGCACCTGCCACCACGTCCAGATAATTTTTGTATTTTTAGTAGAGACAGGGTTTCACCATGTTGGCCAGGATGGTCTCAATCTCCTGACTTCAAGATCTGCCCACCTTGGCCTCCCAAAGTGCTGGGATTACAGGTGTGAGCCAAAGTGCCCAGTCGATAGTGCCTATTTTTTTGAGCTCCTGAATATTTGAAGAATAATTCAATTAATAAACATCTATTGGCTGGGCATGGTGGCTCACACCTGTAATCCCAGCACTTTGGGAGGCCGAGGCAGGTGGATCACCAGAGGTCAGGAGTTTGAGACCAGCCTGGCTAACATGATGAAACCCTGTCTCTACTAAAAATACAAAAATCAGCCGGGTGTGGTGGCGGGCACCTGTAATCCCAGCTACTCAGTAGGCTGAGGTGGGAAAATCGCTTAAACCCAGGAAGTGGAGATTGCAGTGAGCTGAGATCACGCCCCTGTACTCCAGCCTGGGTGACACAACGAGACTCCGTCTCAAAAAAAAAAAAAAAAAAAAAAAAAAAATCCCAAAAAACATTCACTGAGGACGTCTCATCTATGTACCAAATGTTGTAGTCAGTAGTCTCTGCCCCATATGACTAGCCGTATTTGTGGAAATTCAAGCTCATGCCCAATTATGTGCAGTTAAGAACTGATTACAATAGTGAAATGCAGAAGGTTTTAGGTTAACTCCTTTTTTTTTTTTTAATTGTAAAAGTTGTAGACAGACATATGACTCAAAAAAAAAAAAAAAAGCTGTAGGCAATATAGTTGTTTATAATTTATACTGAGTAGTCAGGTAAGGCCTCTCTGAGGAAGTAACACTTGAATCTTCCCCTTGAAAGATCAACTGACGTTACTCAGGTAAAGATGATAGTTAGGTTTCTTTCTTTTTTATTTTTATTTTTTGAGACGGAGTCTCACTCTGTCGCCCAGGCTGGAGTGCAGTGGCGCAATCTCGGCTCACTGCAAGCTCCGCCTCCCGAGTTCATGCCATTCTCCTGCCTCAGCCTCCCAAGTAGCTGGGACTACAAGCACCTGCCACCACACCCGGCTAATTTTTTGTATTTTTAGTAGACATGGGGTTTCACCGAATTAGCCAGGATGGTCTTGAATTCCTGACCTTGTGATTCACCCGCCTCAGCCTCCCAAGGTGCTGGGATTACAGCCATGAGCCACCACCCCCGGCCAGATAGTTAGGTTTCTAAAAGAAAAAAAAATTAGGCTGTTAAACAGATAGATACATTTTCTTTTTCTTTTTTACATTTATTGTTTATTTTAAAAAACAGAGATGGGGTCTCACTGTTGACCACGCTGGTCTTGAGCTCCTGGTCTCAGGGGATCCTCCTGCCTTGGCCTCCCAAAGTGCTAGGATTATAGTGGTTGGTATTGTCACAGTTAAATTCACATTTTTTGTTTGCTTTTATTTTTGTAGATTACATATGGGTGATTTTTTTTTTTTTGAGAAAGAGTCTTGCTCTGTCACCTAGACTGGAGTGCAGTAGTGTGATCTCAGCTCACTGCAACCTCTGCCTCCTGAGTTCCAGTGATTCTCCTGCCCCAGCCTCCTGAGTAGCTGGGATTACAGGTATGTGCTATGACACCTGGCTAAGTTTTCTATTTTTAGGAAAGACAGGGTTTCACCATGTTGGCCAGGCTGGTTTTGAACTCCTGACTTCAAGTGATCCACCTGCCTTGGCCTCCCAAAGTGCTGGGATTACAGGGGCCCAGCCTCATATGGGTAATTTTTAATTCTTGGTTGCTCTAGTGGGTTAAGTGGTGGCCCCCAAAAAGATATGTCTACATCTTAGTCCTCAGAACCTATGAATGTGACCTTGTTGGAAACAGGGTCTTTGCAGATATAATTAAGGTCCTTGAGATGAGATCATCCTAGATTATCCAGCTGGGCTCTAAGTCCAATGACAGAAGAAAGAAGGACACAGTGAGAAGGAGGTGATGGCCACATGAAGACAGAGGCACAGACTGGAGTCATGCAGCCACAAGCCAAGGAACACCTAGAGACACCAGAAGCTGGCAGAGGCAAGGAAGGCATCTTCTCTAGAGTCTGTGGAGGGTGGTGGCCCTGCCAACATCTTAATTTCTGATTTTGGGCCTTTAGAATTACGAGAGAATATATTTCTGTTGATTGATTGATTGTTCGAGATGGAGTCTCACTCTGTTGCCCAGGCTGGAGTGCAATGGCTTGATCTCGGCTCACTGCAACCTCTGCCTCCTGGGTTCAAGGGATTCTCCTGCCTCAGTCTCCTGAGTAGCTGGGATTACGGGTGTCCGCCACCACACCCGGCTAATTTTTGTACTTTTAATAGAGATGGGGTTTCACCATGTTGGCCAGGCTGGTTTCGAACTCTTGACCTCAGGTGATCCACCCACCTTGGCCTCCCAAAGTGCTGGGATTACAGGCATGAGCCACTCCACCTGGCCATTTCTGCTGTTTTAAATCACCAAGTTTATGGTAATTTGTAATGGCAGCCCTGGGAAACAAACACATGTGGCTTCTCCCTGTTACTTGGCACGATTCTTTTTTTTTTTTTTTTTTTTTGAGATGGAGTCTCAAAAAATTAAAAACAGAACTACCATACACCAGGCTGGAGTGCAGTGGCGTGATCTTGGCTCACTGCAAGCTCTTCAATTAGCAATTGATTGATTGAGATGGAGTCTCACTCTGTTGCTCAGGCTGGATTGCACTGGTGCGATCTTGGCTCACTGCAAGCTCTGCCTCCTGGGTTCAAGCAATTCCTCTGCCTCAGCCTCCCGAGTATCTGGGATTATGGCGCCTGCCACCACGCCTGGCTAATTTTTTGTATTTTTAGTAGAGACAGGGTTTCACTGTATTAGCCAGGATGGTCTCAATCTCCTGACCTTGTGATCCGCCCGCCTTGGCCTCCCAAAGTGCTGGGATTACAGGCGTGAGCCACCGCGCCCAGTTTACTTGGTAGGATTCTAAGCTAACTTCTCCTAGATATCTATTACCATACACTTGGGGAATCCAAAGTTAAACAGATAAAAGAAACAAGTGAAGCAGCCAGGCGCGGTGCCTGTAATCCCAGCACTTTGGGAGGCTGAGGCGGGTGGATTGCCTGAGGTCAGGAGTTAGAGACCAGCCTGGCCAATATAGTGAAACCCCATCTCTACTAAAAATACAAAAATCAGCTGGGCATGGT